TCCTGAATGTAAAATGAGGCAGTTTGCCAGATTCTATGTGGGTATTTCCGTATGTAAATTTCTATATTCCAAAAATGATGAAGCTTTAAGCAAATATATTTCTAGACAAGTAAACTGAGATGTTCCCTACAGGGAGTAGTGTGAGCATTTTACTTGATGGATAGTGGCTAGGTCAAGAAGATTGAACTATCAAGGGTCATGTATCTTATAAGGGGTAGAATTAGAATTGGACCTCAAGTGAAGGGCAAATCATGGGAATCAAAATCAAATCATGGGAATGGGTGTGCTCTCTTGCCCTTCCACCTTCTGCCATGTGATGACTATTTTGTGATGGGGTTGTTTCAAAAGTGGTGGTAGGCGAATTCCCACAAGGGAGGGCCTCAAACCATCCTGTGATGGGGCCAGTTGGGATTCCAAAGAAAGAAACACTAAAGGCCAAGGTGATCAGTCCAAAGCATTTATTAAGGGAACCTAGATGGAGAGTGCAGCAGCATATTATCACAATGAATAGTGAGAGAAAAGGGATGTGCTATCTAGGCATGCCCATGGTGAGGGGGCCAGGGTATGGAGATTATATGAAATTTGAGGAAATTTGGTTCACAGTCCAGGCCAGTTTCTTTCCAGCAAACCCAGATAACTTTTTCAGTGCCTGAGAATGTTCAAGGCCTCAGTTTGGGTTCAGGTCTGCTGGGCAAAACCTACAGCTGGCTGGTTCATAAAGCAGTCAACGCACTCTGACTTTTAGTCATGATACAGAAAAAAACTGAAGGAACTGGGGAACCTTACAATGACACAGCGAGAAGGGAGAAGACCCTCACCAGATGATGGCACCTTGATCTTGAACTTCTCAGCCTCCAGTACTGTGAGAAATAAATTTCTATTTTTTAATAAATTACCCAGTCTGTGGTATTCCATTACAGCAGCATGAAATGGGCTAAGACACAGTCCAATCACCATCACATTCAGTGTCCAGTGTTTCTGCTCCTGGCATCAGGCTTATGGAAGAGACCTTGCAGAACACAGAAGAATGGCCCTCAAAGATGTTCATATTTTTGTCTTCAGAGCATGTGGATCTGTTACTTTACATGAAAAGGAGGAATAAAAGTTGCAGATGGAATTAATATTGTAAATCATCTGATGTAAAATAAGGAAATTATCCTTGATTAATGTGGGTGGGCCCCATGTAATCACAAAGGTGCGTACGTGGGGAAGAGGGAGGCAGAAGAGCCAGAACCTGAGAGATGTCATTGTGAGAAAGAGTTGACCAGCTATGGCTGCATTTAGCAATGCATGTAGGCAGGCATGTAGACAGCCTGCAGAAGATTGAAAGGAAAAATAACTGAATTCTCCTTTAGAGCCTGCAGAAGGAATGCCACCTTAATTTGAGTCGTTTCTGTCTTCTGACCTCCAGAGCTATAAGATAATAGATTTGTATTGTTTTAAGCTACTAGTATGTGGTAATTTGTTATAGCAGCAATAGGAAACTAATGAACACTTTATTAGTTAGATGGAATAAGTCACAATTTGGGTTAAATAAAATGAACCTGGTTGAACCAAAATTATTTTTAATATCTCCTCAAACAAGTATACTTTTGAGGAAATTTTTAGTGCAAAGCATGATGCAGGAATATATATTTAAGAGATTAGCTGATTTTAAGACTTCAGCACATTGCTTTTATGCTAAAATTATAAAGGAAAGTTATGTATTTGTTAATATAAGTCTATAATAATTTTCACTTAAATGGTTTCTATCTCTGTAGCGGAGAATTGGGTGGATTATATTTCTCTGTGAATATTTCACTATTCACATTTTTCCATCATTATACTTAGCATACTGCAGTCCTCACATTAGCAAGACAAGATGAGCGGTGTTCACTATGATTTGTTACATATTAGCAGGAATAAGTCTTAGGTTATATGATCTTTGCCAAGTGATTTAAACTAAGGCTTGTTTTTCTCATCTACACAATGTGGATGATCATATCTTCTGGTATGGACTGCATGTCTGTGTCTCCCTAAAATTCATATGTTGAAACCCTAATCCCCAATGTGATAGTATTTGGAGATGAGGCCTTTGGGAGATAATTAGATCATGAGGGATTGGTGCCCTTATAAGAAGAGACATAAGAGAGCTTGCTTCTCTCTCCATTCTCTGCCATATGAGGACACGATGAGAAGACAGTCTTCTGTAAACCAGGGAGAGGGTCTTCTTTAAGAACCCAAACATGTTGGTACCCTGATCTTAGACTTCCAGCCTCCAAAAATAGTGTTTGTTTAAGCCACCTAGGCTATGGTATTCTGTTGGAGCAGCCCCAAAGAGACTATGAGAAATTGGTACTAACAGTAGGATACACATATCTAAAAATGTGGAAGTGGCTTTAGAACTAAGTAGTGGGTGGAGGCTGGAAGAGCTCTGAGGTGCATGCTAGAAAAAGCCTAGATTGCCATGAGGCGATTTTTAAAGGTGATTCTTGTGTGGACTCAGAAACAAGAGAAAACCTCCATCTTCTTAGAAAATACATAAACAATAATAAAGAGAGTGTTGGTGGAAATACGGATGGTAAAGGTCATTTTAATGAGGTTTCAAATGGAAATGAGGAACATGTTATTTGAAATTGGAGAAAAGGCAATCTTACAATAAATTGACAAAGAATTGGCTGAACTGTGTTCATATACTAGTGTTTTTGAAAGGTAGAAAAATTGATGCAGAGAATCACTTGCTCCCAGTTATGGAGCCAGTAATGGTGGAGCCAGAATTGAACTGAAGCTAGAGTTGGAATTTCTCTATCTCTTTTCATCCCCAAAGGTAATGTAGACAGTGTGCAGATGGGTAGTATAGGAAGAGATGAGGGTAGAGTTGCAGGGTGCTTCAGGCCAGAAGAAATGACTTTATCAATGTGATTCATAAAGAAATCTTGCCTTAGGTTTTCCTAAAACTGACTCATGTTAAGCAGTAATCTTGTTTTGGAGCTTTTCCACTTTAGCAAGATAAAAGAGCTGTAATAGTTAGATATTGTTCATATTACATGAGTCTAAAAGCAACTAGATGAGACTATGTATGTGAGAGTGCTTTGTAATCTGCAAAATGGAATATGGGTATTACACTCCTTCCCCAGCTCAGGATTCAGGGCCTGACATGAAGATACTTGGTAATGAATTAGCTTATGATGCAGGAAGAAATCTCTCTCTCTCTCTCTCTCTCTCTCTGTCTCTGTCTCTCTCTCTCTCTCTCTCTCTCACACACACACAGACACACGCACACATGTACACACAGTATGTGTATGTGTATCTCCCCACTAGATTGGGAGCTCCACGAGTGCAGTGTCTGTGCCATCTCTGTGTCCCCAATGCCTTACAGAATAACCTAAAATTAGTCATTAAACAATAAGCGTTTGTGATTTAAAAAAACTATTATAGTGCCTTTCCTTTTAGCTGGGATTTTTATATGGTAGACTATCTCAGTTTGGGATCAGGAGAAAGGATTGTCAGGAATCACTGACTTTACTACAGAGCCACATTTGTATATTACATGGTGGGAGGCAAGGGTCCGAGGGTTAAGTGCTGAAAGGCCTTAGCTGGGAAGGTAGCACCCCAGTAACTCAGCTTTGACTCCTCTAAACTTCAGGCCCTGAAGGATGTGGCATGTGCACTGAAGTGAGGGAAACAGGAACCACCATGGAGACAAGGTTGCTGTGTTTCCTGGGAGACTGTTTTCCCCAGTGCATTGAGCCAGGAAGTGGGTTTTTCCCCACCTAGTGACCAGGGGATGGGTAGATAATCTTGTTCATCACATAAAGAAACAAACATGTTAGACTGGTCTGGCCAGTGAGTTGTGGGTCTTGACATGACAACATGGCCTGCGAGTAATATGGTCACAATGACCTGGTGCTTTCTGTGACCAATGGAATCGATGAACAGGGTGCAGTGGAGGGTCACAGGCCTGAGGCAGCATGACCAGGAAGTCTAGTGTTGACACTGGATGCAGAGCGTAACATACAAAAGGAATGGAGTGTTCAGCTGCAACACAATCACCAAGCCCAGAGCAAGGTGACCTTATTCAGCCCAGGGTTATGCCATGAGCAAGGAAAAAAAAAAAAAAAAGAAAGAAAAGTGAAGGGAATAAGTGGCAATGAATGCAGAGGAAAGGGTGGAATTTCAGAAAAGCTCCACCAACCTGAGTTTGTGTTGGTCAGTGAAGCTCTTGTAGTTGGGTAAATGCAATGGTGGACTACAAGTCCATGTCAAGTACAGATGAAAAGGACCAGAACAGAGAGGATCAGCCAGACCACAGTGTGGCTGACACTGACCCACACAGCATTTGACCATCTCCCTGGAAAGGAGTCTTGATGGTCAGAAAGATGGTGACATGTATATGTATGCAGTGGAAATGTTTGCATTGACCATTTTACCAAATCTGTATATAATTAACTTTAGTGCAATTTCTTGATATCAAACAATTTAGTAATCTAAAGTTTCAGTTAAAAAATTCCAGCATTGTCTGAAAAGGAAATAACTGAGCCTGGGTGGACCCTGCTGGTTATTATTCAGCTGTTCTACCAAACTAGTCATATGATGATAGTTGTGGAAGGAGTTGCTTACAAATGGTATCCGAAGCAAGAACCCACATTTATTCCTAAATAGGAAAAGGTGATGTGTAAAAAGTTTCAACCTAATTGGACCTGCTCGATGATTTGTAAGCCTGGACAGGCATCATGCACACATTTGTTAGTAGAAGCCTGAGAGAGCAGAATTAAAATTAGGTGCTACCACAGCTGGCCAAGCAATTGTTATTAGGATCTAATTTATCAGTCAATAAGGAAGTTGAGGCTTATGTGATCCCAACTTTTTGACCCCCATTTCATTTAATCAGGGTTTTAGCACTCCCAGCTATTCCCAAGCTATTGATATTTTTAAGAAAAAACTTGAGCCTGAAAAACAGACAAAAGACTATATATTATATAACTCTAATGATTTATCTTAAGAATCTGTGAACTGTGGAATCATGATTGTTAGGACTGAGAGACACCTGCTCACCTTTCTGAAATGAGGAGCTGAAAAGATATTCTGAGATTTAGAAAGGGTAAGGTATACAATGTTGACCTTTTGGAGACAGGAAACCTTTGATGAACTATAGGACACCAAGACAGTTCATTTAAAAGATGGTTTCAAAGCATTATCTGGAGCTGGTTTTCTTTGTGCCTTACTGAAGCTCTTGGGTTGTCTTTTTACATAAACCTAGTGAAATAATGGCTTTTGCAGTTGTTCATATGTCTGCAACCCTCATGTGGCACCTTGGCTTCTAAGCTTTGTAACTGCTTTCAGTCTCTTTTGAGGATGAAATTAAACTTTTCTTACCGTTTGGCAGCATGGAACTTTCCTGCGATGTGCTGTTAAGGAGAAAAGAGGCATCAAGAAGTCACCCATATCATCTCCATGTAATTAAGGAGTACAAACTGCTCAATAAAATTGTTGCTAATGATATTTACTTGACTACAGTATGAGTCCCTGCTCTTATCTCAGAATAAATTAAGGATTAGCGGCTCATAAAATGTATAGATTGTAAAACTTTGTTGCCTGTAATAGGGTATGCATTTTTTTAAAGACAGCTTTGTGTTTGGACTATCTTTAGGCTTTCTTGTTCTCTTTCTCTGCCTCTCCCTGACTCTGCCTCTGTCTATCTCTGTCTGTCTCTCTCTCTCCCTCTCTCTCTCTATATATATATATGTATATAAGTGTATATGTACACACACACATACACACACACACACAGAGTAGCCCCCTCTTATCTGTGATTTCACTTCCAGTGGTTTCAATTACCCGTGGTCAGCCACAGTCCAAAAATATTAAATGGAAAAATTCCAGAAATAAACAATTTATGTTTTAAATTGCACGCTGTTCTGAGTAGTGTTGTCAGATCCTATGCTGTCCTGCTCCGTCCTGCCCAGGATGTGAATCATCCGTTTTTCCTGGGTATACACATAGTATATGCCACCCACCCTTTAGTCACTTAGCAGCCATATTGGATATCAGATTGAAAAAACCTAGTATACATAGGATTTGGTGCTATCCACGGTTTCAGGCATCCACTGGGGGTCTTGGAATGTATTCCCTGTGGATAAGGGAGAACTACTGTATATACTAACATCTATGTGTATGTCTGTGTATGAATGTGTATGTGCATGCACCATGTACACATACATATATGTGTACATGTTTTTTAAGTTACTGAATAATTAATGAAGGATAGGTTGAAACAGAAAATAGTGCTCAACTTTGACATACAGACTTAGATTGACAATTTACTAAGGTATAGCATATAATCAACAAACCAATTTATCCTCTTTTAAAATACCATAAAAATCAAAAGTGATCTATGAATTATTATTTTGATGCTGGATGTGAAATTAATGGAAATGTCTAGATATATATGAGGAAGTTAACACTTCAAAATACTGAGCTTAAATTTAGTTAGGAACTTATAACAAGAAAAATAAGTCCCAAACAAAATCGTATCTTTATTTACTGAGCACATTATTATTTTGATACATGACAAATAACATCAGTAGGGATACCAAGAATAATGCTCTATCCTGGCCTAGCCTTCAAATCTAGCAGAGGATACCAAGAAATAAACAATTACATATTATGTGATGAGATAGTAACTCAGGGTCTTATGGGGTAGGAGGTGGGGAGCGGGATTGGAAGGCAACACAGCACACCAGGACATATCAGAGAATGTTTCCTAAGAGAAGAGATGCTTATACACCACAGATATTATCTGCTGGCTGGCAGGTGAAGGAAGGGCCTTCACAGTTGGGGCACCACGTTGTATTCTGAACATGAGAGACAGCAGGTAAGTTTGAGTTACCAGAGTTTAGGGTATGTCATGAGAGGCTAAAGACTCTGCTGAAGGAGCCCTTACTTTCCCATCAGGCGTCCTCTGTGAAGCCCTTTGTGACAACTGGAGCTGGTGGCCTCCTTCTCTGTGCGGCCATGACTTTTTGCATATTTCTCTTGTTGACTTTCCCCATTCACTTTACTTGTTGATGTGTGATTTCCATACTTGTCTGTGGAATAATTAAAATCAGGATGATTTTCTAGGTCTTATCATGAGACTTACAAAAGAGTAGGGACTCAATACATGTTTATTAAATACATACATGAATGACTGGCAGGTTGCATGAGTGAATGATTATGCACTGTTTGGGGAGAAAGTAAAGAATTGCCTTGGTTATCAAACAACCCCTTGTAAAACCTTATTGGTTTTATTTTTGCATTTTAGGTTACTTGCAGCATATAATAGCCTTATGGATAAACACCTGGCTGGGTATTTTAACAATACAAGGATAAGGCGTCATCTCTTAAGATCAGGACTGGTAAGTTTTGGTTTACTTTCCAACAACCTTCTTGCTTCATGAAGTCCAATAATTCCCTACCTTTTCAGGCTTTCTCTTTGAGTGACATCTTCCACTTCCCTTCATTTTAGAAAAATTTCTTTCTTTCCAAAGTTTTGATTTATGTATTTGAGGTTGTTTGAGAAGATAGGAAGGCAGGTCACAATGACTGCTAAGAAAACTTATAAATCATTGAGGAAAAGGCCCTGAGAGTTTCCAACAGCCTATTTCAATTGTTTGTTTATTCATTCATTCAACACATATTTACTGAACACATTGTATGAGCTAGAAACTGTTAGGAATTGAAGATAGAGAAGATTTTACTGTCATCTTCGGAAAAAATATTGCTTTTGATATTCACGGAATATGGTGTGGAAGACATGTACATTTCAACATTTCCCCCACATTTAAAAGCAAATTATTTCCTGTGATGGTTTATTGATAATATTAGTGTATTTCATTAGCTTCACAACTGTTCTTTCCACAAAATTTCTATTCCTCTAAATGTATACAATGTCAAACCTTTTTAAAATGTTACAGTATTCCATGGAAAGAAAGAGATGTGGTTATAGAAAGTGTTAGCTGTTTACCTTCTTAAAACACAATGGGTTTCCTTAACTATTGTTGCCATGGTGTTGAAAGAGCACGTATTGCATTTCTAATCGTTGTTTCTGTGCTTGGCACTCTAGCTGATAGATCTCAGAGAGCTTGCTTTTCTCCTCCTGAGGCTTTGTTATCAGACAGACCTGGCTGAAACCGAGCTTGCCATTTATAAGCCATAGAATCTTGAGTAAATCACTTTCTTAACTTTTTCAGCCCCAGCTTCCTCAGTTGTAAAATGAGAGTGATGGCACGCAGCGCTCAGAATTGTTGTGGCAGTTAGAGATGTGCAATAAATGGGTGTTGTAATTATTGTTACTATTAACATCACTTCTTTGGATAACAGTCTGTGAGTTTTGCGTACAAATGAGAAGGACTTTGTATTTACTTATCAGCATCATTAACAAGCACTTATTGAACACTGGTTGTATGCATGGCAATTCAAATAAGAAAGATGCAGCCCTTTCTCTAGAGGTTCAAATATAGCCTCTCAGCTAGCAGTGTTCAGGGACACCCGGAATCCTGATAGAATATGCAAATATGAGAGCCCTGCCGCAGACTTAATTGAATCAGAAGCTCTGGTAAGCGGCCTATCAGTTTTTCAACAAGCTCTGCAGGTGGTTCTGATGCAGGGTCAAGTTTAAGCACCTTTGCCCTATAGGAGCTTCCACTCTAGTTGGGGAGCTCAGACATAGTCGCACAAAGACTGTAAGTGGATTATCTGTAATTCCAAGCACACTTTCTATAGGTATATCTCTTTCTTCCATTGGAAAATGTATTTGCAAAAAAAGATTACCAGTAACCCATCACTTGTAGCACAACTCTGGTTGATCTCAATACTCCAGTGTGTTGCAACAGTAGTGGTAAAAAAATATAGTTAGCAGAATTAAGAAAAATATGTGTCTTGCATGAAAGAGGGGAGAGAGCTTAAATAAGTGGAAAAGAAGAAGGTGAACAATCCATATGGGTAACGCTCTTTGTTTACAGGGGATAGAGAACAATACAACACATCAACAAATATGTCCACAGGAAGAATTAAAGAAAAGGAAAATAAGTAAATCCACAACAAAAATGGTCACTCCTGGGACTTGCAATGATGCCAGTTGAGACCAATATTGAATATCTTCTATGTATGCTACCGCATAATGTGTAAAATTCTGAATCAAAACAACAAATTAAATTACATTTTGGGCTGGAGAGTGGAAGAAAAAAAAGCAGTAGGAAAACAAAGTAATGAAACCAATTATTTTTAAAACAAACTGATGAGCTCCGCTGTAGCTACCATGTTTCCCATCAAAGTATTTCCTGCGAGATCATCAGTCCTATGATCACTGCTCCTGGTCATTGTTTCAAGGTAATACCCCACCCTGTTCCTCCAGGAAAGTGTTCAAAAGAGAAATGAAAAGAACACCTGGGTTCCATCAAGGGAAAATTGTTACTGTGATGAAAATCTTGTTTTAAACGTCAAGTGTACCACCTGTGTGTGTTTTCACAATGAAGGGTATATGAGACTTCCTTTCTCCTTTTTGCCTCATGAAATATGCATTAAAAGTGAAAGTTTATCAACCATAGTGATATATTCTTTTAGGCTTAAAAGCTACTGCTGCTTTCTCTCCCTCTTTCTCCCTTCTCCTCTTTTTTCTCTCTCCCTCCCTCCCCGCCTCCCCAAGGCCTCTCTCTCTCTCTCTCTCTCTCTCTCTCTGTGTGTGTGTGTGTGTGTGTATGTGTGTGTGTGTGTGTGTGTGTGTGTGCGCTTGTCTGTCTTCTCCACCCTCCAGCCTCTCTTTTTTGGAAACTAACATCACATTTTCTATTTTATATTTCTATGTATGTTTTATTTATTCATGACAGATCACAAGAAGTGGAAGAATACTTTCTGAAAAAGAATATAAACTAAATATTATGAAGCGGGATCATCAAAAATATATCCGGGAGTGCTTAGCCCAGGCAATTTTTCATAAAGTTCTTGATATGGAGGTATAAATATATACTTATTTTTTATTTTATTTTTTTCTACTTCCACATCAATGAAGATGGAGGTATAAATCTTTACTATTTTCTTTGTAATTGATATTGTCTAATATGGTAATTAATAATGCTTTTGTACCTAGAAAAAGAGATATTCTTTCTGCGTTTCATTAAAAAAGAAAATGAAACAAAGAAATACTCAATATCTCTCTGGGCATCCAGGAGCCAGAAGTCTAGCGTAAGCTTTTCTCCATTTCAGTTGGAGAAAAATATGGACATCATTATATATTTTGTGATATTTAATTTTCCAAATGTAGATTTTTTCATTCACAATGGCTACTCTAAAACATACCAGCCCTCACCATCTGTACCTCAATTTCCATTTGCTGAAAAAAGTGACATCTGTTTAAATATCAGTAATTCCATTGCCATGAATTATTTCAGATCTGTTATTCTTTTAAGGCTCTGAAGCTCAGCCGTATGTTACATTTCAAGGAATAGGCATTTTAACATCTGCTGTCTCTTCTACCGTAGGCCACGCTGGTCAACATAGATGCACAAACCAAGCATCAACAATATATTTTTTTAATCTGACAGGGCATCTTAGTGGGATATCTAGCTAATTTGATAAATTATTTCAGCCTTGCTCCATGGAACTTGAAGTTTCAAGCATCAACACCATTTTAATCTCTGTGAAAAAGCATGTCGCTTCTTGGCTTGACCATACAAGCAGTAAATCAGAAAGCTTGGCTCGTAAAACCATTGACCTGTGAGTGCAGTAAACATTTATGAACAACTGTAGAATCATCAGTAAACCAATATTAAGTCTAGTGCCACTGAAAATATTTATTATTATGCTGCATTAGGTAGATGAAGTGTTCACTTAAGATGTGTATGATCTGTTCATTTAGGAATTTACTTTGTGCTTCATATCATGACCGTGAATTACATAGAATTGTTGTTTGTGGCCCTAAATTCTTGCTTATAAAAGTATTAGCTGTAATTTTTCTGTGAAAACAATAAATAGTACAGCATAAAATTAACACCTTGTTTCAAATTTACCCCACAGGCACTGAGTTCTCTGTTAGCCTTAATCCTTGAAGTCTAGTTTTCCAAAATCTCACTTAACACATTCTGACACATCATAACTGTAGAATATGCTATTATTTAAATCTTTGTGGATTCCTAGTTCTGAATAAATATTTTAGATAAATGTTAATATGTAATATATTAAATAATATAATTGTTACATAACAGAATAAATCATACATAAATATAATACAGCAAACTATCTTTAAATTGTCACATTTGTCTCACATTTAGTTTATGCTGATGCTCCTTGCTAATACTGCCGTATTCACATTCATGCATTCACTCATGCAACAAGCCATAATTGCAGGCTACCATGTGCCAGTATGAGGCTTTGTGTTGAAGCTGCAAGGTAGGATTAAAAAAATACTGTAGAATGTGACTAAGTGCTAGAGGAGAGGAACAAATAGAGTGAGCTCAGAAAAGAAGAGAAGGATGACTTTTCTCTGTGGGAGTCAGAGGAAGCTGAACAGAGGCCTTGCTGTTTGAAGACTGAGTGAGGGTTCCTGTGAAAATGTGGAAAAGGTGTTCTAGACCTCAGAAGTTACAGAGGTGTGAAAGGACATAGTAGATGGAAAGGAACCCTCACTGAGGCCAGACTGCACAGTGGGTTAGTTGGCAGGAGTGGCAAGAAGTGACACTCTCCCACAAGTTGGTACCCAGTCTCTGGAGAGCCTTAAATTCTCAAGTAAGTTTGGGGTGTAGGTGATGAGGCGATGAAATGTTTTTCAGCAGGGGAGTAAAAGAAATGAGCAGAGCTGTTTTAGAAAGATTATGTTGCTAAAAATGTGGAAGATGGATTAATGAGCTGGAAAAGATTGGAGGTGGGAGGTCAATTAGGAAGCTATTGCCGAAGGGTGTAGGCTAATAGCAGTAGTGGTAGTGCTGGGAGATGCAGCTGTCTACAGAGAAGCTGAAGTGGGAGAAAGATTTAAGCGGACTGAATGTGAAGGAGTGAGGGAGAAGAAAGAGCTCAGAAGAAAGAGTTTCTCACCTGGTTGGAGGTATGTGCACTGCAGGAGATCAAGAACAACAGCATGAGCTGAAAAGGAACCTTCAAGTGGTCACAAACATGCCTGTTAGAATGGTGTCCTGGAAGCGGGAAGATTTTCACAAGCTGCAGAATGGTTAAAAATGATGAGCACTGGGGAAACAAAGGGAAATTAGGTTTGACCCAGAAGACAAAAACATTGGTGGACTTGGCAAAAGTAGTTTCAGCAGTAGGGAAGTGGCAAGTCAGTCGATGTGGATGACTACAGTGAGTTGGGGATAAATGGAAGGTGGAAAAAGGTTGATAGTGAGTTGAACAGTTTGATAATAAGTGGGTAGGAGATCAGAGGAAGAGAGAGAGGAAAGAGAAGTGTTAAGAAGAGGATTGATGATAGGAAATTATTGAGTCTGCAGGGCTCCTAAGGCAGTAGGAGGGAACCAAGAACAGAGGGGAAACATTTTTTCAAAGGGCCAATGAATAAAACACTCTCAAATATGTCTAATTAATTTCAATTTGCCTTTTAAACGGATTATTTTTACGTGAGGCTTATTTTTAAATTATAGAATAATATATTACAAAAACTTGGGGGGAAAAGCATAAAAAAGGAAAATAATTACATACAATTCCTCCTTCAGAGACAACTGCTGTTAACATCCATTTCTTTCTAGTCTCTTTTCTACTCATATTTTTACCTTAGTAAACTCATACTATGTTGTGACAGGGACAACAAGGTTTTGTGAAAAAACAAGCAAAAAACAGGAAGTTAGTGTCAGATAGGCCAAGGCTGAAATTACAGCTCCTCCACTGGCTGGGTGTATGACCTGGGGCAAGTTCATTATCCTCTGCCTCAGTGTCTTTGTTTGTAAAATAGGGTGGCTTGGCAATTAGAGTTGTTCAAGAAGAAATAATGTATGTGAAGCATCTTCCTAGCACAGGAACAGACACACAATAAGAGCTTGATAAATTAAATTGTATTTCTGTGAAATTCTGTATCCTGCTTTTATCCTGCATTAGGTGCATTGTCCATCTTTTTAAACAGAATCTGTATGAACCTTATTTAATGATCTGTATGAACCATTATTTAAATGATCAATTATATTTTATTCCATCATATGGATGTGCCAGAAATATAACCATTCTTTTTATAGTTTATATTGTTTCTGCATTTTCTTTTACCTTAAAGAAAAAGGAAAAAAAATTTTTTCAGATAGCATCTTTGTGCATAAGACATTTTAAAAAATTACTTAGATTTCCCACAGGTTCAGAAGTGAAATTTAAGGGTTAAAGGTTATGAACACTTTTAACTGCCTAATATATGTTGAAAATTGAATTTCCAAATAGTTGCACCAATTTATATTCCCACTTGTGCACTGATGCAGATGATTCTTCTCCATTTCAATGACAAGAGGGGTAATTGAGAATATAGTTAGCTGTTGGAATTATTTTTCTCTAAACTGGTCGTTGCTATAACCGATATGATTCTCTCCTTTATTCTTTCCTGTATGCTTAGCGTTACCATCAGCTTGAAATAAAAAAGAAATTGGAGACCTTAGCTAGGAAGGAGCGAATCCAGATGTTTAAGGTAAGGAGTTATATAACTGTCTTTTACTTCATAGTATTATTTTATGATTTAAAAAAACAAAAAAATACAGTGAAACTATGATTCCAGTTCCCTGGGACACTTTACTTTTGGGTAAAACATAGTTGAAGTCAATGATGGTTCAACCAAGCCTAAACCTTAGCCATCACTATTACAGAAGATTGTGACAAAAATAGGAGCTGTTTGTACAAAATAAATTGTAATGAGGCACAAACCTTTCAAAGACAAACTTGAAAATATTCCTGAAATTTCGCTTTTATATATTCTTGTGATAGAGGGCAAGGGATTTTTGTTTGTGTCTTAAGAAGGTAAAAATGGATGGTAATGTTTCCAACCTGATGGTAAAAAGGGCTTTTTAAGAATGATACTATGACACATTTTCATTTGAATGTGACGTTGGAAATATATGGTGGAAAGGATCCTCATTAGCAAAAGAAAGCATGATAAAATGTAGATTTTGTAAAAGGCATTTTAAAATTCCTTGTTTTCTATTTTTAAATATATCTTCTTTGCAGTGAACTCAGGAAATATAAACTTGAATCAAGAGATGAGATATTCAGTTAAATTCAAGATTTCCATTTAGGTTGGCAGTTTTACTCAATTTCTGAAGTCATTCGTAATCACATGTTGTTCTTAATTTTCTGTGTACTGTGGTATTACAAATATGCAGCCTCAGATACGTTTCACGAACTGACGAATATTTGTAAAGCTTCTGTAGAATAACTTGTCATAAAAGACAGTAATTTTTCACCCTTGCCTGATGGACTCAGGTCTATTTTATTAGGGTGAGAAGATAATTTTGTTACAAAAATGTTTTCAAATGACAGAGGATGAGTCAGTTTTTCAAGATCAAAGAGTTCGTGTGTAGAGATTTGTGGTTTATCCAGCTTTGCCAATATTGCCCGACATCAAGGACTAAGTCATAGATTCTATAATTTATCTGCTGAAATGTTGATGGAGAAAATGTGGTTACTGGAAAAAAGAGTCACTCACACTGCATGAAGCAGGAAAAGTTGCTATGTGTTATTCACCCTTGTCCAGGTAGCCAGACCCGCTAAAGGAAGTACATGGGCATATTGTAGCATTGTCAGAGATTTGCTACCCTTGTGCCTCTTCATATGATTTTTATTTGAACAATTTTCACTTTATTACTGAATTTGGCACAAGATATATTTTAGCTCTCATTTTTTAAAACATGGGACACTTTTTGCCTAATGGAATTATTCATTTTCTAAGATAGAAAAGTACTATTTTCTGGTAGTCTACTGATCACAGTAGTAAAGTTCATTATGCCTTTTGTAGTGATCTGCTTAAAATTAACAAATATTATTACTAAAATGGAGGATACACTGCTTTTGCAGTTATTTCTTTGAGCACAACTAAAGTCGACTCAATTTCTTGCCTTTTACCACCACACCTAACTCCTTAACAAAAGTAACTCTTGGAAGAAACGAGAAAGAATTTCTTTAGTCATATAGTATTTCGTACATGTCATTCATAATCTAACCTAGATTACTAATTGTGTATCTATTTGCTAAATTGCTTTCTTATTCTAGGGAGAGCACACAAGAAGGTCTGTTGAAAATAACATGCCAATCCTATCTCCCCACCCACCAGCCGGCCCAAAGACTAATCGTGGCCATAGTGTTCTGATTGATGAAGGACATTCCAGTCCATTAGCACTGGTGAGTAATATTAAACACTTTGTCATGCAGTATCCCAGCTAATTAATTTATTATTTCTTATTCTCAGAAAGGATACTCTCTGGGAGCATGTCTGCATAATCCCTGCCAGTCCTACTGAATGAAAATATAGTCTTGTATCTATTCAACTGTGTCTCTTCTGAATGTCTCACTTCCAGTAAATATCACTACTGCCAAATCAATTTTGCTCATGAATGCTAGATTAGTTTTCTGGAAGTCCTGATTACTTATGTTACTTATATACCCAAATACTTTCCCTGGCCTGAGAAAAGCTCAGACTCTCAGGTGACATTTAAGACCTTAAACCATATGACCTCAAATTAGCTATTCCAAATTTTTTTCTGCATGATTACTCTTCAGCATCCTTCAATGCAGCAAAATGGGACCACTATACATATTCTATATTTTCTCACCTCTGGATTTTGTTCTTGCTGTTCCCTCTACTTCCACCTTATCTGTATATATTCAATGGTTCCATATAGCATATTGGGCTAAATACTAACATTTGAGCTTCTTTTATTAAAAGTCTGCACACATACTCTAAGATAAAAATAATTAAATGTACAGAAATTCTATCCAAAGAAACTAAACAGTGATATTTTATTCCAGTTTGATTCTTTTCTAGTCTAAAGGTGGTGTTTGCCTGAGGGAAGGTAAAGTACCTTGAAATAATATAGATACAGGAAAAGATTTGTAAAACATTTGCTGGGGGTTGGTGGTTTAAGTTGTAAATGAATTGCTTGATTATATCTTTATTCTTGCTTCGTGTAGCCTAATATATTTCCTTGTTAGCATGTACTTTTTCTGAATTGCAAAATATTTATGGAGAAATTGCGATGCTTTCACAGATTGTTGAAGTAGGTTCATCACATATAGTGTTAAGCTTTGACATTTTTCAAAGGGTAAATATGTTTTGACATTTCTTGATGAACAGCTCAAATGATGAAAAGCAACCGTCTTTCCTTTGTTGTCACCCTATTTCCAGGTTTGATTTGAATATATATGTATACAAATTCTTTTATTGGATGGCAAATTCACTAGACTCTCAAAAGCTTAACCTGAGTGAAACAAAAGAAACAATCACGTGCTGTTTCCTGTCTTCCCACCTGTTTCAGACAGGAAAAATCCTTGAAAGGCTTTCTTTTCAATTTTCCAGCTGAACACCCTCAATAAATAGTTTATGATACATCCAGCAGATCTTAATGTGGTAGGAGTGAAAAAGTAATTTTAAAATTACAGGAAACACTGACACCAGCTTCAAAAACCTTTCTCTCTGGTAAGCCAGGATTCTTCACGTGGCCCGCCCTGATGGTGCTTTTGCACCGTGATACCTATTGTGATCTTGGAATTAAATAGTTCCCATTTTACAGAAATCCAAATCTCCCTCCCTTTTTTTTTCCAATCTGGATACATATTCTTTAAATTTGACTTATGATCTCCAAGTGTCCCTGAGATAAAGATAATAATCCTTTTGAGATATTGCCATTGATTTTTTTTTCTTTTTTTAACTTTTTTAAGTCAATAAGAAAATCATCCAACACAATGTTTGTGCCCTTGGTAACCTAAACTTTCAAAATAGTATACAGATTTTTAGCTGTACCACTCCCATTAAAACTATGGAAAATCATTTCAGCTAATTCTGCATATGCTTGAAACATTCACCCCTACTGATCTACTAAGAATTAGAAATGCTCAGCTAAGCTGAGTAATCACCAGGTAGTTAATTTCAATTCCTATTCTGGTATGGTTTTCAGAATGTTAAGCTACAATGCCATATTTATTCCAAGAAAATATATTATACACAATTTAAAATATAACGAATTTAAGGTGGCTTCTGATGTGAACTACAACAATTTGTAGCTCACAGCTGTTAGTTAATGGTGCAGATTTGTTTTTAGAGATAAATGTAATCAGTTAAACATTTGACTACCACATTCATCTAACTGAATGATATCTATATGCAAATGTAGGGAAGTAAAATTTAGAGCACAGCAGCCAATAGATCATGTTCTAGTTTGCAGTAAACTGTTCTCTTAAATTTCTACAATAGATTTTTCAAGTTTTTGTGTTCAGTTGGATTATTTGACAGGAGAGATCCTTGAGGCATGTTTGTTTTACAAAGTTCAAAAGAATTCTTTTAGGTGATCTGATTCCTTTGTTCAGAAACCTCTATTCTAATTTCTCTTTTTGGGTTTTAAGACCTTTTACCTTTTGGACCATATAGGCTTATTTTTTTGTTTCTTTAAACCAAATGCTGCTTTAGTCAATTCACTTGGCTTCTCATATTGGTTGTGATGTAGGTTTGTGTATGGAAACCATAAATATAATAACATTGGCATAAACGAAAGGGTCTCCTCCCCATCTCAGCATATACATGAGTCTCAGCTGGCATGCTATCTTAACTCTATGAAGTCATCAAAAGTCCAGACTCCTTTTGTGTTGCTGATCTGCCAGACTTAGGGTATCGCTTTTATCCATAAAAGCCAAGATGGCATATCACCATTTGGATATTTCAGCCAGAGGGAAGGGTAAAGTGAGAGCACATATCTTCTCTCTAACCACATGACCTGAAAGTCTCATGTGTCACTTCTGCTCACATCTTATTAGCCAAAACTGAGGCATACATCTACACAGAATAGCAAGGGATGCTGGGAAATATCATCTTTATTCATAGTAACCATGTTCCCAGTGGAAAAAAGAAAACAGATATTGGGGAATATTATCTTTGCTACTCTTTTCAGGTCTTGCTCACAACCAGCTCTCTTCCTGGTTGGATGTTCAAATTTATCCTTCTTCTCTGCTTATCCACTTTCTTCTCTTGTTTACCATTTGGATAAAATCCAACTGCTTTTGTGGAACTTTAAGTTGTATTAGCCTCCTTGGCTTACCCTAAACGTTCTAAGAACTTTTACTTCTAAGTTATGGTCTCAGGTATTTTATTGTCTGTTTGGCAGTATTTGTGTGGTTCATTTGACACTAGTTGTTTTGTGTTGCCATTAGATGTTAAAAAATACTTTTTATGTTCTCACGGTTTCTATGGTGGAAATCCAATAAATGCTGACTTAACAAAATCAGAGATTTAGCAACATATGGCATGCTTCTTAAGCCTAATTTCTAAGGCTGGTTTTTGGTAGTAGGAGCTGCCTTATCATCGTTTTTTAAAGTATTTACATACACTTTTCCAGAGCTGAATATTTGTTGTTCACCATTCTTTAAAGTCAATGTATTAAATGCTTTTCATTAGTCACTTATATACCATCCTTCTCATCCTCCTACCTAAATATGTATGTACTGTTCTTGATAGGCTTTCTACTATTTTATTGCATTAGAACAACTGGGTCAAAAGTCATGTATTCTACTTTTGACACATTGCTAATCTTTTTTTTTTCTTTTTTTTTCTAAGACAGCATCCCACTCTGTGGCCCAGGCTGAAGTGTAGTGGCACAGTCCCAGCTCACTGCTGCCTCGACCTGCCTGGGCTCAGGTGACTTCCCACCTCAGACTCCAAGTAGCTGGTGCACAGCACCACACCCAGCTAATTTTTGGATTTTTTGTAGAGACAAGGTTTCACTGTGTTGCCCAGGCCAATCTCCAACTCCTGGGCTCAAGTGTTGTACCCACCAAAAGTGTTGGGATTATAGGTGTGAGCCGCTGCACCCAGCCACATTGCTAGTCTTTATACTAAACTAACAATATTCTTTCAATGCCCCCAGAGGCACTTCTAATGCATTATACTAGCACTTCTGGCATTTGCTGCAGTACATTCTTGATTAGAAAATGCATCAATCAGTGGCTCAGCAGGAGACAGATGGCTCAAACAAACAGTGTAATTAGAAAGTGTTTAATAAACTATTTGCAAAGAAGTAGGCAGGGCTAAGGAAATCCAACTACGGATGCTAAGCATGCTAGGGTCAGCATGTCAGAAGCCACAGCACCCAGGCGTAATGGGGGAACAGAGGAATTGGATACCAGAACCAGCTGCTAGTACCTGTAACTGAGAGAGGGCTTCCCAGAAGGAGCTGTGGACTTTGGTAGAGGGACCTACCTGGCCCATTATGACCCTGCAGGGTGAGTCAAGGAGAAGAAAGACCCTAATCTCATCTCCTGCTAGTGCCTCTCACTGGTGGACTCCAGCTGCAATCCTGAGGTTAGTGAGTGTAGTCCCGAAAGGAGTGACCCCCAAAGTCTAGGTCAGGCCAGAGAAGGTGAACGGTAGATCTAGAGAGACAAATGGAAAATATGTAGCATAGAAAACATATCCAATTCTATATACATTTTCCAAAGTTGCCAGTTACATTTTTTTTATTTTTGTTTTCCTAGTATTTCAAGGATGCCGTTGAATAAATTGTAATGCATTTCCTTTCCTCTTTTGTTTGAATTATACTGTCGCTTTTACTTCAGCACCAGTCATAAGGCTGAAAAGATTCAGAGTAGAGTTTATATAGAAGACATTTAGACAGAAATGAGTCCATTCCAATAATATCCTTTTAGACCCCTAAAATAGGAACATTATTCAACGTAACATTCAATTGAGCAAAGCCATTGTATGAAGAGCATAAATTAGTTATTGTCAGCAAGTTTGCAGTATGAATAAAAATACAGGAATGTAACGGAGGACATCTCCTTTGTCTAGAATACTCTATAATTGTGGCATATAGTTATGTAGAGGACTTCAACACCATATGTTTTAACAAATACTTTGGGTCATAAGGGTATGTATAATGGAAGGACATAATTAAAGTTTAATCTGTTCAGTAAAAAGGCACCATTAATTACACTAGGCAATTTATTGGGTTATTAATTGGTTCTGGAAACATGTCAAGATACTAATTTAAATGGAATTTTTTCCCTTAATTGTCTAGACAGCCCCTCGACCATATACTGCTCCAGGAAATATGCAGCCTCCAATTCGATTACAGCCTCTTCCCAGTCACCCTGCAGTAGAAACTGTTCCAAAGGTAACTTCGAGGTCCAGATCAAAAACCTCATTGCTGGAAAATGAAGCTCTGTTTCCCATTGGGGTAAATGTTCTTTTTGTCAACAAATATATTTTCATTTTTGAGTAGATTATTATAGGTAATTACAGTGGTCAAGGTATTATATTAGATTAGAATCTACACAGTGAAAATTATATTGTATATGTATAAAACACTTACTACATACTTGTGATTAATTATGTCTTACTCAAATGGGAAGGCCTATAATTTGTGTCATTGAGCAAAAAAGTAAAGAACAGATTGGTAATAATGTATGGTGATTTCTCATTAGTTTACAAGGCTGATTGAAAAACAAAGGGGAAAACTTTTCCGAACCAGATATGACTTCTATCAGAAAAGGCCCAGTGTTGACTTCCTCCAAATTTTAAATGCATGAAACCTAGAAAATGAAACTTTCCAAGAATAGGTTTGCATTTGCATGCTGACTTACTTTCCCATCAATGTATGAAATTGCTTCAAGTTTGACTTTTAGAAAGTTGAATATAGAAAGAAAAGAAGGTCCATCTTTAAAAAATGCTGAGTTAATCACACATAGGAGCTTGATTCTGCTACCCTCTTAAGGTTATATCTCAGATAATTTTCCCTTATTTAATAGAGCACAGGAAGGAGGTATGGTAACCATGGAATATGAGTTACTTAAATAGGGAGGAAGAATTAGTACATTCACTAATTTGGAAGGTATTGTTAATTTTTCTAACATGAAGAAAATTTTGCCAGCTTAAGAAAAAAACCTGCGACATGAGTACAATTGTCACTATGTTCAAAGGAATGATTATGTTTCATTTCTTAAGAAACATAAGATATATGAAATTAAGTTATTTTTATTTTTAATTGACAGATAACCTTGACACTAAGAAATTAATTCAGACAAATGATTGTGTTTCACAGTAAAAGTATAAATACAACACTAAAAATAATAATATATTAATCCACTTAATGTGCTTTTCAGTTTCTGAAGCACTTTTCATAAATCTTATTTCAGTTAATTTAATAATATTTTTCTAGAAACCAAGAGAAATTAATCCAAAAGTGGTGGTGCTTTTATCTAGGGAAGACTACTTACAGTTGGGCAGGAACTTGTTGAGTCATATGTCAATTAGTTTGACACTTTCTAGGCTCTGGTCTCCACTTTGAAGGCCCAGAGAGTTCCTGTGTTAGCCAGTGTCCGGGAATAGTCACATCTTGTGAGACTGTCCAGGCTAACTAAACGAACTCAAAACAAGCTCATTTTTCTCTAGATAATAAACAAAAATAGGAAACTCAATGGTATTCAGGAGCTATTTATTCACCAAGAGATGTCATAGTCAAAGCTTATAGAAGTGCATTATCCCCTAGTAGGCAGACATATATGAGAAGCCAAATCACAATGAGAAAGTTGCCTAGTGAGCATGGAATCAGAATGAGGGGATACAGTGTAATAGAATGTTAATCATATAAGGCCTAGATGGCCTGATACACCCGTCTCATCTTGGGAATGGGCTAGCCAAAGGTACCAGAAAACTCAAAAGTCTTTGGCTAAAACCCTCTTTATCCTCCAGCGGTAACTTTGACATTAGGACTAGAAATATTCAAAGTCCAATGGGTAGGATTTCCTCTCCCCTAGATAGTACTCGGATGGGTACTTTCCATGCTTGCCAAGGTGATTATATTCGGTTGTAAGTTCCATAATTATTAATTCTACTTTGATCAATACTTTGTCCCATTAGATACGTGAACACCATCAATCAGGTATTACTTAAGCTCTGCTGGCTGGGGAGCAATTTTTTTTTCCTTTAATGTGACTTTTCAAATCTGTTCTGAGCCACTGGATAGATTTACTAATTGAATCTTTACAGGGCCTTTTCCTGTGTCAAGTTTTTGGGGTATGTTATTGAGAGCAGGCAGCTAATGGTAGCTCTCATGTGCTGACAAGATTGAGATAAATTCCACAATAATGTCAACTAGATAAACTCACTTTTCATTTAGTAAATATTTATTGAGCATTTACGATGGCCTAGGTACTGCTTTAGGCATCAAGATAGCCAAAAGTAACTTATTGGAGCTTACAGTGTAATGTTCACAGACAAAGTATACTGTGATTATGTCTTATCTGTAATTTTTTTCAATGGCACTGATGATGACAATGATTTAATATAAAATCGGACAAGAAGCTCCTAAAGAAGAATAATACTCTGTACAGCGCTGAGCATGTAGTGAGCACTCAGAAAACTCTTACTGCTTTTTAAAAGAGTAAAATATATACATGTTGAAAGTACTTGAAGGTACAACAGATAGAAGTAGGTTGAACTTTGCTAAGTAGCAGCAGTGAGAGTCTTTAATTTAGGCAAAAGTGATTTGGTCAAAAACAGACTGGATGAGATGCAAATGAGTAAAAATAATGACTTGATTGAAAATGAATGTCCTTAGAATGAGAGTTTCTCATATATCATTGGTAGAAGTAGAAGTTAGTATAAGTATTTGTGAAGGCAATATGCAAATATCTATCACCATTTTAAATGAACATGCTCAAGCATTTTAACAAGTAGGAATTTATCCTAGGAATACACACATATGTGTAAAGAAACAGATTCAAGAATATTTTGTACTGTTGTATTTGCAATAGAGAACAACTGGAAGATACCTAAGTAATAGTGTATTGTTTTACCTTGTTGTGTTATATTAAAGTACATTTAAAAAGTATAAAGCAGGGGCCGGGAGCGGTGGCTCACGCCTGTAATCCCAACACTTTGAGAGGCCGAGGCGGGCGGATCACAAGGTCAGAAGATTGAGACCATCCTGGCTAACATGGTGAAACCCCGTCTGTACTAAAAATACAAAAAAATTAGCCGGGTGGGGTGGCAGGCACCTATAGTCCCAGTTGCTCGGGAGGCTGAGGCAGGAGAATGGTTGAACCCGGGAGGCGGAGCTTGCAGTGAGCCGAGATCGTGCCACTGTACTCCAGCCTGGGTGACAGAGCGAGACTCCGTCTCAAAAAAAAAAAAAAAAAAAAAAAAAATGTATAAAGCAGAATTATTGCACTGGCATGAAAAGATGTCCACAATGCTGTTGAACTAAAACAAGCAAGGTAAAGAACAACATGTTAATGTTTTTGAAAAACTGATAAACCTTTTCCAAACAAGGCATGCAATTGATACCTACACAGAAATCATTTTGTTTTAAATGCTTTAATTCAAAAAGTTCTAGATTCATTGATTTTCTTGTCCTTATTATTTTTTTACTTATTTTTATTTTTTATTACAATATAAATGTGCTCCCTTACAGAAAAAATGGAAAATATAAGAAAAGCAAAGTTAGAACGTGACACAATGCAATATCAACCATTCTAACAATTGTGAACTCCTTGGTGAATATCTACTTAAATCTCTTTCTGTTCGTATGCTTTTTTCAATCAAAATATGGGCTATCCATGCCCTTTGCTTATAAGTTCCTTTTGCTCATTTAGCAATGAGAGATATTTAGAGAATGACTTCTCTTTCTACAAAATAATATTTCACCAAAAAGCATATTAAAATACAAGCTAAGTTGGTCAAAAATTAATTAGAAATTTCAAAATAAACATAAGTACAATATAAATTGGTATTTTAGAAATATAAGTAAATTTTTGCAAAATACATAAATCACTTAAATATTCCTTAAAATTTGGAAAACTACCTCAGGTACACAAAAATTACCAATTTGTGAAAATTCAGTGACTCACTTATACCTGACAAATGTAATTATTGACTATACCTTTGGTGTTTTTTAATGATTAAAATAATACATGCTGATTAAACTCTAAAACAGTATGAAGGTATATCCCTAAAGGCAGCCCCACATTCAAATTTTTTCAGTCATTGCTGTTTTTAATCAGAATTCACACATAAATTATTTAAAAGAAATTTATGGTCATACCATATGAACCTTTTCATTTCAGGATAAATAGATTCATGTTATTTTTGTTTAAGCCTAGTGAGATCTATCATATGAACAAAGCAAGATTTAAACACCCTCCTATTGATGGACTTATATGATGTTACATTTTGTGTGACTAACTTCCTTATATATATATGTGTGTGTGTGTGTGCATGTGTGTATATGTATCCTTACACACATTTATATTAGTAAACTTGTATGGTTATCGGTGTAGGATTTATTCCTACCACTAGAATTTCTAGGTCAAAAGGTATGTACCTTAAAATTTTGATAAATATTTTAATGCTCCCTCTGTAAATGTGGTAATAATTTACTCTAAATAGTACATGAGTTATTTATGCTAAAGAGTACATGCCAGTTTGTTTACAGCTTTGCAAACCCTGCATATTCTAATAGCTAGATGCTTGAAATCAGAATATGAGAAAAGTACTAATTTCCTATTGCGAAGTGGGCTAAAGCTCTGCTTTAAAGCACAACACTTCAAACTTCTTGATTTTAAATTGTTTACTTGTGTTGGGTTTAATGGACTGTTGAAGAAAAACCCCAAAAGTACTATAAAAAGTCATCACTTTATGTTATTTAAAAAATATAACACATAAGGTTAGAATTTTATGAATATTTAATTTGCTGCAGATGCTACAAAGTGTCATTTTTCAGCGGACTGGAGTGTTTTGAGTTTGTCTATTGATATCAGTTGTGTTTGCATGCAAAGTCAATCATTTAGGCTTGTCTTTAAATTTGGGTTACATTGAGTCACTGATTCTGTTTCATTGCTTCTTATGTGATGAAATATGATTACAGGGCAAGAAGGCAGTGATGAAGTTCAGGAACTCCATAGGCAATTCACAGAGAATGAATTCGTATCAACTTCCAAACATTAACAGTTACATGATGCCTATTCCTCCTCCACCACCCCCAAATGGGAAAATCACAAGAGAAAATAGATCTGAAACATGGAGAAGGAGAAGATTTCGTCCAACCACTGCTCCAAATGGCTTAGAACCTCTTTTGACCAGGGTAATTATGGAACACATTTTTCTTTTATTAATTCATCACAGATTACATTGCACTATTAGATTTCTAGGTTTACAGTAAAAGAATTTGGAGGAAATTGCATGCAAAATATTCTGTGTAAAGAAATACAATTTTATAAGTAAGCTTGAATGAATCTGAAACCAAAGACTTGAGTAGTTCAGTTGCATAATGAGTTTAGCAAAATTAATAATAAAAGATTTAACAACTCTTGTGGTCAAATTTAATTTGAACAATACGTATTTCCAAATAATTTATTTCCTTAAATGCACCGATTCAATCACATGTTGTTAGAAGTATCTTAACATCTAATTTGTAAAAATTGAGAAACCTTGATATACCTAAAAAACATAATATAGTTTATTTTTAACAATTTATGGCAAATTACTATATCATACCTAGAAAAAATTATTTCAGTGTTCTTTGAAGAGATTACAGTTTGTTGTACTCATTTCCTCAAAATACTAGTAGAAGAAACAGTTTTAAGGCCTGTTGGACTTCATAAACATACAAGCTAGTAAGAAAGCAAAATAGCTCTTCATTTTTATTACGTTAAATATACAACCAATAGCAATTAAATGAAAGTTTTGTGATTGGCAAATGAGCTGGGTTAACATTTCACTGGCTGACCATCAAGAAGTGAAGTGTCAGCATGCACATAGATTCTTAAAAATCAACCTCACTTTCAGGACCCTTATTCACCCCATGTCCACATCTCACTCCCAGCAGCTGTCCTTACCTCTAACCTTCTCAAAAGAAGGGGACCATCTTCTTCCTACTTGCTTGAATTTCCTTCTTTCAACTCTACTTTTACCAATTCTCTCCCTTTGTTGCTGTCTTTGACAGATTGTTTTCTCTCTTACCCCCAAGGCCCACCCTTGCCCTGTGTCTTTGATCAGATACTCTTTCACTGTTGGTGGTACTTCGTATTATCTGTCATTCTCTCTAATTTGGATTTGCCACCTTCCTCTAATATTCATCTCTGTCTCTCAACATATCCAGGCCTTAGATAAAGGAGCAAATTCTTTCCTCACATGATGTAACCTTAGACTTCTGTTTTATCCTGTTCTTCATTAGTAAGTTCTCTATAGAGCCGTTTACTGGAGCTTAGTCTAACAACCTGAGGCAACTCAACTTACAACAATATTCTCGCTCACAATCTTATCTACTGTTGGTCTTATCTACTTGCTCACAATCTTATCTACTGTTGGTCAGCTGTAATTCTGGGACCCAGACTGAAGGAACAGCTCAGAATGGAAGAGTCTGGAGTATGTTGGCCTCATGGGCAACAGAACCACAGAATGCTTTTAAGGTTCCACTTAGGAGTGGCACATGTCACTTACACTGGAATGCCATTTGGCAAGCCCTTGAGCAAGACTGACCTCAATGGAGTAGGAAGTATCAGTCTCCAACAGAAAAGGGCGGTAA